TTTGTAAAAACTTCAATTGAATTTCAATAAAGTTAAAGGCATAGCCTCACCGTTAATATTTAAAAAAAAAAAAAAAATTTATGCTTTTATTTTTTTTTTGTACTATTTTTTTTAATATTCTATTTTAGAACAGCGATCAAATAAGCTTCCAAGCACAGTATTATTTCAGTTTTATCTAATTGGTATAAACAGATCGCTTATAAGTGCTTATAAAAAATATAAAGATTAATACAAAATTGCTAAAGAAAAAAATTCTTTAGTTTTTTATATTTAAAATTTTCTAGTAATATCAAAGTATTTAAAGTAATTTCATGTTTTAAAATCCTTTTATTAAACATTTTTTTTCAATGTTAAAATCATTATGCACGATCGTCATAATCTGATGGATAATACCGACTTTTGTTAATAAATTCATTTGGATCTCCGTGTACGTACGTACGTAGTACATAATCATTTCCAAATATTGATAAACAAAAAAAAAGTTTATATTTCACATCTCGTTCATCACTCGATATAGTGTAAATAGTTGTCTAGATCTGATACTGATGTCCTTCCTTTAAATAAATTTAAATAATTTTAAATAATTTTTAAATTTCGTAGAATGATTATTTTTGATTATTAAAAAACATTAAGTGATTTAATTGATCTAGCGTCCAATCTTAAGCAATAGGGTTTTTTTTATCGGAAATCTTTTTAAAGATCCGGCAAACTATTGAACATGAATATCAATACGAAAATCATAGAATATGAATGAATTTAATTGGCAATACATATAGTGAAATTGATGTTATGAATAATATATGTACACAAATCTTTCTTATTGACCGCAGCCTGTGTACAAAAAATTGACTTTTTTAAGATAAAGTCTGATGACTTTGCTTAGAGATGGACTCTGTGCTCTTTGTCTATGTCTCCATTCTCTAAGTACGTATAGAAACCAATGTATAAATAACTTTCTATACTTTTTCTTGTTAAATATAATCGATTTTTCAACGTTGTTTTCTGATCGAATCCTTATAGCTAATCATTCCTTTCCTTCCTTTTTAATGTGTATTTAATAACGTGCATTTAACAGCAAATCCAAGAAAAAAAATAATTAAACAAAGTGATATTCCAGAGTGATATAAAGTTATCGATCATATATAAAGCGGCACAATGTTACCAAAGTCAAAATATGATGAAAATTTTTCTAATGATATTGATAAGCTTGAGAGTAATAACTCTAATTATTCTCGGATGGCGCGTTCGATTGACCCGCCGTCCGACAATAACTATCGTGAACAGGAGAAAAATCTAATTTGTTCGAGCGTTTTAAATTCAGATAACGAGGTTCATATAATTGTTACTAATCAAAATAATAATCAAAATAATCCTGTCACAAACAAGTCAACTTCGATAGCTCGTAATGCACGATCACAATCCATAATTATCGTCAAGCCACCTTACCCACCGACCATTAAACCTAGAGACTTGGTTAATGACCTATTTAAAATTAAGTCACGGACACCAAAAATGCTGAATGAGTTTTTTATTTATCGTAAAGCGCTTGTTCAAGAACTCAAAAAAAAAAAACTTCGAGTAAAGATGACGTTAGTGTCGTCTCAAGCGTCTACTTATTGGCATCAAGAAACCCAGCAGGTTAAAGAAGGTATCATTCATTTATTTATTTATTCTATATTCAATCTATCTATATACTAATGCTTAGGATAAATTTGCCACTTTAATTAAACCTTTTACTTAATGAAATTATCATTTATTGTTATTTCTAGTAAGGATTCTTTAAGAGTTATGTTTAATATCACAAAAGGGCAAATTTGTCCAAACGCACCAAATATATATCTATCTCTTACTCATTTAATATGTGTTAATTTGTAATAACATTCATAAAAAAAAAAAGCATATAGACAACTTGCGCGTGAAGCGGAAAGGTTGTATCTACAGGAAAGAAGACAATCGCAACAATCTTCAAATCCTTCTACAAATCTTGAAAACCCCTTTAATCCTTCGATTTCCTCAGCACCTGTGACTTCTGCTCTTGCATCCCATTTTAAGGACATTGGTCCCGTTTTGGAAATCAATTCATCTGCTATTATGTTCAACAATGCACCTGCGTCGATCACGTCTGTCCATTCATGTATTTCAGACAATGGTAATGTATATTTTTTTCAAATTAACGTATCATTTACGAGATACTCATAATCAATTCAATTTGAAGATATCTCAGATTACATTCAAACCTTTCCTGCAAGAAATATATACGGTCAAAATCAAAATACGTTATGCCCTAACGCTAATGCATCAAATCCTTCATTTAATCCAGTCAATTTCGATTTTCCTATTTGGAGAAATTACGATCAATCTTTGATTGTAACACAATCCGGTCAATATAAATACACATCTCCCAATTTATCCACCGAGAGTGATGTTTTTACACCAATTGTACCTTCTCAAAGGTACCATCCGGATCCAGAAACAGAAAACGAATACACCACACAAGAATCTCAAAAATAAAGTTTTTTTTTATATGTATACCTTCTAACCACATCATCAAACAAGATTTTAAATAGTTTTTTTTTCTTTTTAAAAATATATGTATACAGATAGATGTGTACACATAATGTCAGACAACAAAGTTTTTTTCATCTAGATAAGAATATATGTACGTATTACGATAGTGTATAACACGAAACATAAATATTCGTGTAATGCAATACGTCATATAAGAGCGCTGTAAGTATACTTATGCTATATGGTATCACTTGTGATCTTTTTATTTTATACATTAAAGAATTTAAGATATTACAAATAAATCCTTATATATAACAATAATGGCTCAGTATGTTTTGAAATTTTAATGATCGATTTGTTTCTCAAACATTAATTATTTTCACATCTATTAATAAATATAGAACTTTGCAAAAAAGAAATTCCTATTTCAGCACTAAATTTTGTCCTTAATTCACTTTTTAAAAAGAGAGAATTTTTTTATTTTGACTCGGTTCAAAATGACCACCTAAAATTTAGGGTAGTGCGGGCCGGAATTATGTTAATGCTGGCCGAGTTTAGTGTAAAAAACCCTGGCTGGCATCAACATCATTCTGGCCCACACTAACCCTAAAATATTACCGGAGGGTCATTTTGACCAGGTCAAATGGAATTTCCTCTAAATTAAAAATTAATAGATTTAAATAAAAGTTTTTTTTTGATATTAATCATGCGGCACATTTTAGCCAATCATTTACTCTGATAGAACAAATCTCGTACACGATTAAAAATTTTGTCTCGCAAAGTGACATGTCATTTGTTTAAATTCATTCCAAGTTACCACCCTGGCATACCATTGGGCATATCTGAATGGAATATCAGACTTCGATGTTACGGTCCTGCAAAGATCATGGTTCGGACCAGTCTTTTGGACCAGTCCAACTGGTTTTTGCTCCTAAATTGAGGACTGGGTCCAGACCAGTCATTGTTTATAGAATAATCTCATTAACTAAAAAATGAAAAAACTTTCTGATGACCAAATCTATAAGTTTCTGATATCAGCCTAATTTCGTAATTTATTGATTTTGACTCAGTAACTTGTTGATTCGGTCATCGGCAATTTTTTTCAATTGTTCCAGGATTAGAGGTGTTATTTAGGCAAGACCGGAATGCGTGACAGGTTACGCTAATTGACCGACATTGCTTATACTAAACAGATTTTAATGTTAGGGTTGGGGTGGAAGAAGTTATAAAGGAAATTTAGACAAAATCTATACCAAATTATGAATAAACCAATTTTTTCAAGGCACTAAGAGTGGTTTTATATGCAAAATTTTGAAATAAATTTTTTTCTTAATTTTGTCAAAACTGATAATCTAAAGTGTAATCTCTGAATACTTATATATATATAATTTATATATATATATATTTTTTTAATGTTAAGGTAAGTACTTGTGACTTAGGATTTTATTGATAGTATGTTTTAGCTAATAGTTTGTTTTTTTTTTACAAGAATTACAAAGCCGATTATGAAAAGAGTATATAACTAGTTACTTGTACAATTTTAGTTATTGCTAACTTAAGTAGTTTGTTCAACTCACAATCGTCTTCAACTTTGTCTTAACCTTGCACGACTTCACCTTTTTCTATCTAATAACTATCAATCAATCGATTACCAAAAATTTGTCGAAGATTTAAAGCTTAGATCTAAAAGATTCAAAATTGAATCTTTTACTCAAACTACTGATCTTGATCAAAAATATCTTACCATCCAATCAGATGTTAGATTTAACATCAAGCTCTTCTTCAATGTTCCAAAAACATTGTTCCTTGAAAGATTCTGCATTCCCTCTTTAAAAAACTCTCTTGACCACTTTAATTCTTGGTTCGAAACTTATTACCCCCCTTATAGCCGACAATTTTCTTTTACTATTGACAAAGAAAAAATCAAAACTTCCCTTCAGATTCAATTCTATCAGCACTTTATTCTCCAACTCTCCAAGCATCTCCCTGAATCTTATATATTTCAAAAACCCAATTCATTTTATGAGCGATGTAAGGAGGCATCATGTGTTGCAAATTTCTATTGCCTCACTTGTGATAACAAATCATATCAATATCTTAACGACAAAAAATTCCATGACAGTATTAAATTCTTTAATGATATACTAAATAAATCTCGCTTATCATTCCCATCTAAAGAAGATGAAACATGGATTCATCCTACTTTTAATATCACACTATTTCACAAAAACAAAGAACATGCTGCTTCACTCGACCAACCTATTCCTACTAAAGCTTTGGACACATTGGCTGATCAAGCTGAAGACTTTGTTTGTAAACAAAACAAAGTTAAAACAAATCCTAAACGTCGTAATTATTACTTCTACTGCTATCTTTCATTATATTATCAAACTGCAGCAGAAAACCATAATATACAATCTCTTTCCAAGAAGGAGGCAATCAATTTATTAACAAAAAACATTATTGATACTAAATTCCTTGCCCAAATCATTACCTACTTTGATATTGTCAAAAACCAAAA